GGAAGAACTGTTAAATAGAAAAAACCCAAGACTTGATTTGGGAAATTCTTAACCCATTAATTGCAAAAGACATTGAAATTAAGAGATTCATGTTCAGGAAAGCATATTCTAAAGAAATAGCTGAGGCTATATACCTTTTGTAATATCTAAGCAAGATCAAAAATCAATTGAGTCACACTATGAGGTCCCCTCAATATAAACAGCGAGCATCTAGGAAGCTTAAATGTCACTCAGCCATCTCAGCAAAAGCCCAAAATGGGATTTTCTGGGCGGGGTGGAAATCTGTGGACCAAACTTTTGCCTAGTGGAGTGAATCTTTGACATATACAGGAGACCCACAAAGTTCTTGAAATTTTTATTCTAATAGAAACACTTTGGATCTAAAAGGACAATATGAAATTGAAGGTTACAGACCTTAGGTGTTACACACAGATGAAACTGGCTGAGGAAGCTATGCTGCAAACCTGTTACTTTAATGAAAAATGAAGTGTGACTCGGAGTAGAACCCAGAGCTGGGAGCTTCGAGCCCAGTAGGCAGATCTCAGAGGCACAGATAATATTGCCAGGCCTTGATCCTTATGAAGTTCACCTAGCTTGGTTTCAAAATGTTTTGAGACTGATGGCTTTTTTCCCTTCCATTTTCTCCCCTTTTGAAACAATGTGTATAACTATTATCCTAGGTCTGTTCCACCATTTTATTTGGGGGAGAAGATGCCATGTTTCTTAGTTTTACAGACCCACAGAAAGAGAGGATATGCACTACAGGGTAGATTATACCCAGAACCTCACCCACACCTGATTTGGCCAGTTCAGATGATGAGATTTGGGGGTTTTGAGCCAATGAGACTTAGATGAGATCTGGATGCTGAGTCAACAATGGAATGAGATCTATGTATATCTTTGGATGGGTTCAATATATTTTGCAAACAGGACAGATAACCAGAGGTTAAACTGTCGTAGCAGAATAATTGCTTCCGACGATGTCCATGCCCTAATCCTGAGAACCTATGAATGTCAGTAGGGATGGTCAGTGGGATTTGCATATATAATCAATGTTAGGCACTTTGCAAGGAGACATCTCAGGTGGGCTCAATCTAATCACATGGGTCTTTATAAATGTGGCGAACCTTTCTCAGCTGCAGGGAGAAAGTTGTAGACAGAACAGTGAAATGTATGGCAGAGAACAAAATAGCCGTCCAATATCCCATTGCTGTTTCTGGAATACAGCTGTGCACCAGACTGAAGAGGAATGCTAGGAGCTAAGGACAGTACCGCAACCTCCGTACTGGCTCAGCAAGATCAAGAGGTTAGAGTTCAGTCAAATAAAATAAGGAAAGTGTCTTCACAGATCCCCTCAGTACAGCCTGAGAGCATCCAGGGAGCATAGAGAGACCCAGTCCTACAACCACATGGAACTGGATTCTGCCCACCCAAACAAGCAGGAACCTGCTTTCCCAGAGCCTCCAGGGACACAATCTGCCACCATCCAAGGATCGCTGGAACCCAGGGCCTGGGGGAACCCTGCCTCCGGGCTCAGGGCAGCAAAGATATGAAGAAGCTGGGTGGGACCGGGGCAGAACTTGCCTAGAGAGGCTTTAGTTCCAAGGAGAAGGAAGCCAGAGCCTTGAAATCTCAAACTGCTGGCTTAGGGGCTGAGGGGTCAAGGAGGCGGGTGCCCAGGTGGAGTTTAGAGAGAGCTCTGGGCTAACCGGCTGTACCTTCCTGGGCTTTCTGGCCTACAGATGCCAGGTTCTGCTGCCTTTGACCCCTGCAGTCCCCAGCAGCCCAGCCTTTGGGAATTCCTCCTCACCTAAAGGCTAGTGAGGGTTGACTTCCCTGCCCTCCCCTGTTGTCCAGCTGTGCCTGCCCTGGCGGCTCCCCAGGCTCTTCCTATGTCGTGGCAGCCAGCTCCTTCCATAGCTTGGCATCCAGGGCCCAGCCTCCACACCGACTTCTGACTCTGCCCTCCCCTCACCTTCCTCCCATACCTGCCACCTGCATCTTCAGGACTGCTAATTGTGCCCACTCCTGCATGGATGCCCACTCCGCCTCGGGCCCCAATGACGCGCTTGGCATTTCCTATCACCCGTTCTCCATATCAACTCAATTCCCAGGCCCCTTTGCCCTAGTCCCCAGCACCTCAAGGTTTTAGCTTCTCTTTGCCTCCCGGCCCTGCTGCAAAGTCGCCCCCTCACCCCACAAAAAACACCATAATAAGAGCTGGAGCTCTAGGTCTGGAGTGAAGGAAGCTGGTCCAAGTGGACCAGGATGTCGCGGACATCCTCTGGGTGATGATCTCACATGGGGTGTTTGTGGGCTGTCCCAGAGTATGCGGTACCAACGTGAATAAGAGGCCACTTCTCATTCAAGGGTAGTAGGGGCTTTTTCCATCACAGGTTGACTTGACTGCAGGTTCTAGGGAAGGTACGTTACTGGTCATTATAAATGAGCCCCTAGGAACAAGTGGAAGCCACATTGGGCAAAGGCCCAGGTCTTTCTATTGGGAAAAAAGACTGCTCTCAGATTGTGACAGTTTTATTTTTTGGTGTTTTTTCTCTGCCTGGCAAAGATCTTGTTTATTTTATTTCCTGTTTTCTGATCAATTCTTTTGGTTTTTGTTTCCTGTTGTACCACAAGTCTTAAGAAATTCAGAAGTAGCCATTGAGATATTTTGCTTCCCAGAAAGGAAACAAAAGAGTGTGGCCCTGTGATTTCCCCCACTTAGAGCCTGGAGACAAAAATCAGGGTACAAGAAGGCTAATGTGACCAGAATTCAGGTGGCATAGCATGGGAGGGTAGGAACCTAAAGATGGAGGACACAGGGAAAGATGAGAGGCAAATTGCTGAGGAAAGATCCACTGAAATTGTTGGCTATGCCCCGATCTGTACAAACATAACTGGAATGAATTATCTGAGGTTTAGGAAAGTACCACTAAAGGGCAGTATACCAGATAATTCCTGGAGTTCACGTGGGACTGGGGAAGGTTTATGTGATCATCTGCCAGAGTGGAAACACCTGTTAGTTATACAAGTAGAGCCCTCAGAAATATTTCACCCAGATAGTGGGACTTAATTAAACAAACTAAAATCTGCTCTGGATCCACCCTGAAAATAATTAAAAGCAAGTGTTCAAAGAGAAAACTGCTGAAAGCCATGTCAAAATCTGACGCTATTTAAAGAGATTAACAAATGCAATGCCCAATGTGCAGTTTATCTTGTCTGGTACCCAATAAATAATTAGTGGGAACACAAAGAAGCAGGAATATAAGAGATAACATATTAGCA